ACTCATTACTCGATCAGCCTGAAATAAAAACACCAACTCTCAGAACGGTTTTCTTTATTCTGCAGGAGAATCGAACACGGTGGCTCCGCTGACACGAGCTCAGTTCAGAACCCACATGAGAACATCAAGTGTACCGCGTTGGACCAGAACCGAGTCGGGTAGAAAATACCCAGGGCAGCAGGTAACGCTGAGAAAGAGACCTTCGACCGTCAGACAGCGGGATTTAAAAACTCTTTTTTTGGTGTTTCAGTTGTCGAAGTGCTCGGCCCAGATTCATGCGATAAAACGCTACAAGGACGAGACAAACGCTGCATTCAGGTGATCCAGGTGAGCTTTGATTAGTGCACAATCAGCTGATTGTAAAAGGTGAAATCATGAATTTAACAGCCTGACTTTCGTTTGGCGCTCTTTCTCATTATTACGTACCGACAAGAAAAGGACGAGAACTTGTTTCAGCTGCTGAGCCGTGATATTAAATTCATTTAACACCATAAAACAGACAAAAACAGTTGTTTTCCAAAGACTTGTTTTTAACCTTTTTTTCTTTTTTACACAAAAAACAACAGTCAAGTACCAAAGATGCATGCTGGATCTGTAATTTGCCAAAAACGAGTAAAAAGGGGGAAGAAGAACGGGACAGGGTGGCGCACGGTTCTTAAAAATCTTTTTTCAAGTTACTTTAATATATATATTTATATTTCTATTTATAAGAAGCTGTACTCGGAGCTGTGGGTTTGTGTGTGAGCAGTGGTAAAAACACGACTCATAAACGTGTTCAAACCTCGCTGCAAATAAAACTTTGCAGAGCTGCTCGAGGAGCCGAACAGTCGCTGTTGTAACAGTCGTGGGGTGGTGGCGAGCACGAGCGCCCGGGGAGAACGAGGCGGCGGCGGCGCCTCCTGTCGCTTCGTTCTCCAACAGGTGAAACGGAAACGGTTTCCTGGAGGAACGGTCGAGTCGTCCAGAGAAAACTTGACCAGTCTGTAAACTTGATAAAAACAGGTATTTTGGTTTGCACCACTAACCCTCGCTTTGTTTGTCTCTTTAGAAGTGCACCTGTTCTGTAGGCGGGGCTTAACGCACCTGCAGGAACAGGAACCAGTCCCCGACGAACCCCGGCTGACGGAAACGAGAACGTTGTAAGAAAATTCACGGACAGACCAATTTGTTCAGCTACACGTCATGCTCGAGTTCTTTTGATAAATGATCAAATTTAGCACGTTGAGGTTTTACTAAATAAATAAACAAATGTTGTGTATCGGTTTTATGACCACCTGATTTTTAAAAATCAGCAGCAGTCATAGAAAACATCTAAATCAGTTGATTATTTAAAATGTGTTTTTTCCAACACTGGTTGAACATTTTTGCCAGTGTTGGGACTTCCATACAATTCTGAATATATTAGTAACAGTCTTCCATACTTTTCAGTAATTTGGAAATATTAAATTTAGCATGACTTAATCTTAAACAATTCACTTTCATACATAATTTTAATTGAGATTAACATTTCATTATGACATTTTGTTGTTTTTGAGAATATAATTTATAAACCAAACCAAATTCAAGTGTATAAAAATGGAACCCAAAAACCAACAGTTAAATCAAAACCTGCTTTTAAGCGCAAGTTTTAATGCAACTAATCTGTTGACTTCCAACAAACTGACTTTGTTGTTGAGATTTTTATGAAACAATTTAAAAAACATGTTAAATAATTTTGTCCCTGCTAGACTTCCATACCAGTTATCTCATTAGGTTTGGAAATAAATTAACTTCATCCAAATCTTTAAAATAAGTAAAAGTAAAAAACAAAACGACTAAAGGATTTCTTGTATAACAAAAAAAAAAAAAGTGACATTTCTTCAGAACAATTTCTACAAATGTATAAAATCAACCTGAACTTCAGCTGTGGTCATTATGTGCAAATGTGTGAAACTGCATATGAACAAAAACAATAAAATAAAATAAAAACGGAGTTGTAACAGAGAGATTGAAACATTTAAACGGTTATAAAGTGTCAAAGTTCGACTTATCCCACTAAATGAAGATTTTAAAGACAGATGACCCACACAATGTAACCTGCATGGGACTTTCATTCAGTTTTTGTTTTGTGTGTGGACATTATTTTAAAATGTCAGTAAAAACTGTTCCAGAAACAACAGACTAAAATAAATACAAATCTTTGGTCCAAATGTTTCGGGGGTAAATATATATATTAAAAAAAAAAACTTAAAACCCTTCAAACGGTTTCTTCCTTTAGCTTCATATACTGTAAATATAGATTTATTTGTTTTATAGCGAAGACATCTCCACGTTTGTGGTTGCAGACATCACAGATAAATAAATGTGCAGCTTCAGATGAAGCAAAACAATCTGATATCTGAGAAAAGTTTCAGAAACTTCCCTCCTCCCGTAGCTTTAGCTGTAACCAACACCGTCGTAAAACGGCTAAAACGAAAAGGGACACCGGGTTCGTTTAAGAAACGCATCTTTCCGTACAAAGACATTCAACAGTGAGCGATGCTTCAAGTAGTAAAAGGTCCTGGAAATAAAAAAAGGCTGTCAGAAAATGTTGACGGAGAACAACATGACATCTTTTATGTAAACTGATAAAAATAAAGGACTTTAGCTTATTATTACAGAAAAAAAACCCTGATTTATTTGTTTTATAACCGAATTGCTGGCTTTCTTTTGTGTGGTAGTTATACGGTCACCTGAAAACACCTGAGGGTTAATCACCGGAAAATTTACAAAAATCTGACTTTCTGAGAGCGTCCGGTAAAAAACTGACGTTAACCGTTTCTGTACATTCATGAACACGTCAACAAACCGTGTTGCTGTTTAAAAAATAAATAAAAATAAAACTCGTAACTCAAATTTAAATGAAAAATTTAAACGTAGAAAATGCTGAATCTGAATCTGTAGCTGCGTAAATACTTTATCCTGAAACTTAAATATTCAACGCGTTACCGATTTAAATTGATAAATTCTAAAAAGTAACCATAAAAAAAAAAGGAGACAAACCGCATCAACTGTGAAACTTTTACACAGAAATGAACGCCCATCCACGGTATTCTGGAGAACCGTACGGTAATGCAGATAAATTTAGGAACTTTATAACTTTTTTTTTAAGCTTCTCTTTGTGGTGAATCATCATGAGCTTAAAATACGAAGCATTTATGAAGCGACGACTGATTTCACACACGATTTGTGTTCCGGAAACTAAAACAATGGAGACGTTGTACCGGTTATTTTATTTAGTTAAATAAATTATTCATCCTGAGTTTGTTCGTATTAAACTTTGTGTGCCAGAATGACTAAAAACTGAAAGGAAAATGTAAAAATGAGTTTTAAAAATGCTCCAAAATCCTAAACCGGTTCTTTAACCTCCTAGGACCTGGCATCCACATGTGCAAGAGTTCGGGTCTTAGGTTAACTGCGATACGGTAATTTTTATTTACATTTTATTTAAAGGGTTAGGGGTAAATTATTTTAAATAAATAGAACAAACAATAAATACTCAAAAGTCCTGTGGACTGGATTGTTTGGGTAAATTAGGTTTCTTGGACCTGACGATATTTACCGGAACCACCGGTAGTTCGGGCAGACACCTCAAAGTACTTTCAGCTAAATATTTAAAACAAGGTTGATTATTCTGATCGGTCTCCAATTAAAACGTTTTCTTGCAACTCTTACTGCCAGAATAAAACGAAGCCCTTTAATGTAGAGAAGAGCTTTAATTATTTTAATTTGCTGTTGATGTTCCATCGCTGGTGATTCTTCTTTAAAGTCATTGGTAGAGATTTTAATTTTTAACCAAACATCTGGAGTAAAACAAACGATATCTTCGTGTGATCTGGCTAAAATAAAACTGTTTAAAAGTTTAACCTTCTCAGCTGAAGGGAAATCTTTCAGCTCCGTAACGATCCCTTTAACGGTAATCTGAGCGCTGGTGTCGTCTTTTCTTTGAGAAATGAGAAAGTTAGCCGAGTTCGAGGCTAGAGCCTCAAATAATCATTAATTTTGTTCATCTTTGAGTCGAGTAGAATTTTAGTTCGCGTGCAGATTATTAGACGGGCACCTCTGGGACTCACTGCTGGTAATTTAAAATTCAAACATTGATTGTAAAGTGAAGAACTAGAAGACAAAATAATAATAATCCACTCACGGTAACTCACTCTGACATCAGCACAGTCGTCTTTCAAGTTTTTAGGATTTTCTGCTAAAACATTTGTCCTAAACTAGTTTACATAAAATACCCCAGGTTAAGCTTTAAAGTTTATTTCTTGTTTTAATTTTGGTTGAGAAAGTTCAAAACGCTGCAAAGTATTACTACATTTGAAAGGTTACTTTTATTCTGAATTAGTACAGTACAAATAATTTAAAAGTGTTATTTTTCAAACAGAAACTTCAACCAGGTTTTATTAAAACATGTACCAGGTTGACTACTTCGCTAAAAGCACAGTTAAATAAATAATTTAACCATTTTGAAAGACTGCTCATTTCCTGGCACCTAACATGGGAAACTCTTTATGAATGTTATAAAACTGAAGGATTAGATTTCCCACGACATTTTGTTGTAATTTACAGCTTCACCACTAGATGGCACGATTGAGACAATAACGCAGTGCGTCGCGCTCGGACAACTGGTTCAGTTTAAATTAAATTAGCATCGACAGCTTCCGGCTCTAACCGGAACCGCCCATTTTAAACAAATGAAAACAAACGGTAGAGTACCAGCAGAACTTTGGTCTCTGGTTCTGCACGTCTTTAGAGAAAAACAATAAAAATAACTTGTGGTTTGTAAAAGTTGAGCCTTTCATCCTGAAAACGGTTGTTAGCGGTGGCCCCCTCCCTGTAGATCCCCTCAGCAGCAGTCTCAGAATAGAAACGTGAAGTTTCTCGTTACGCTACATTTATCGGACAGAAAAAAATAACGTTTGGAATGAGGAACGTTTGTGTGTGAAAAGTCTAAGCTGGAGTTTAGGTAGCAGCGGGGGTCAACCTGACACGTGGTCATCTCCTCCATTTCCTTCACTTGTTTTTTTAAATTTCACATTCACGAACATTTAAAACTTCCTTGTGCAAATCAAGCAGTCTTTATAAAGAATGCCCTCTGAAATAGTTTCTGTAAAAATATATTTGTAGCTCCCAGTTGGCTGATGTGTGTGCTGCAGCACGAGTTTAGTTTCTGGTGGTGGTGGTTATTGTTGTGGTTAAACTCCGCCCCCGCCTTCTGTGTGGGCGGAGCTCATCTGAGTCCGGAGGGCTCCTGTGCGTAGACGGGGTATGCTAGGCGCACGTCGAGCGAGTCGTTGTGCTGCACCAGCGAGGTGTGCTGGTAGTGGAGCACCAGGTCCTTGAGGCTGCCGTACAGGTTGAAGGGCTCGGCGAAGCCGAAGCCTCGCGGCGTGCTGTAGATGACGCAGTGCTTCACCTCGCCGTCCGCCCTGAGGAGACGACACCAACGGTCACTACAGTTTGTCAAAAACAGGAAATGAGACATCCTGAAGGGGCCTGGCTGGCGCTTGGAGCGTATAGCTGTGGCAGCCATCTTGAATCAGGCGTTTTTGTATCAACTGCGGTAGCCATTTTGAATTGGTTTAAATCAGTGTTTCCTGTACAATCGATTACTTTGAACATTTCAATCATTTCTGTCCAACGGATGAGCATTATTATTATTTTTACAGATTAGTGGGGAATTAAACTGAGGTAACGATTCAGCTAAACTACCTACCGCAGGTAAGATACTGTTTTGAGCTTTTCACAGACCCCCACTTTAAGGCCGAATGTTTTTTCTTTGAGTAGAAACGACTACACCTTATTATGGCGGTGGACGACAATATACTCGTGTCTGTGTGTTCACCGGTCTGTTAGCAAAATAACATGAACCGGTGGCTCAAAACTGATCAAAGATGGCCGCCACAGTTAAAAGAAAAAAGTGTCTAACTCTGTGTGGTAGTAGCTGACAATCATCATGAAACTGACACAAAACAAACATTTTTATTGATGTTTGTTTTGGATGTCGAGAAGTCGACTCCAGTCTGACAGGAAGTTCAGAGCCATTAAAACATTTCTCACTGTACGGCAGGCAGCTGTACCATTTAATTAGTTGACTGTGCTGCAGATGTTCCTTAGTAAATATTTGTCTAAAACTAAAGCTCGAGGATAAACAACTTCTGATAGTCATAGTTCGATTATTAAATGTCACAGCTTGCCAAACCTTGTGCCAACCGGAGACGTTACGCAACTCTCCCTGAACAGGAAGTGCTACAGCTAGCTGTAGCAGCTAGCTGTAGCACTTCCTGCAGGATGAACCGGTGTAAAGTCGATGGCAGTTAAAGCCTGATATAAAACTGCCCGTTAGCTCGACCCTCTTGTCTAAAGCCAATCCTTATAAGTCGAATCAAAGGCAGCTGGACTTTCAGGTCCAAATGGAACCAGCCTCAGGAGGGATTGGAGTGAAGGTGATTTGCATGTGGGTTCCACAGCAGCCATCAGGATGAATGAAACCGAGCTCTTGTGGAACCAGCGGAGCAGTACTCACACCACGGAGCAGGCGTAGCAGCCCTTCTTGCTGCTCTCTCGGATCAGGAAGGCGCCGTCCGGCTTCCCGCGGAGCAGCTCCTCGGCCCGGGTCCGGTTCAGATCCCCGACAAACCAGCTCTTCTCGTCGTAGTGAGGCAGCGTTCCTTCTTCTTGGTTCACGGAGCAGCTCCTGGGCCCAAACGAGAAGAGTCACGAGTTAAAACTGAACCGTGTGTGGCGGTCGGACTGCGGTCACGACAAACACTCACTCGTCCAGGTTCTGGTCCTTTAGGCCGAGCCAGTCGTTGATCCGTTTCTGACGGACTCCTTTGTGGTTCAGCCAACTGCAGACACAAAAAACATTTAAATGGCTGCTTGGAGAGGCAGGAAACAGTCGGACCGAACCAAAGTCCAGCTCACTGTCTTTGTGTTAGCTATGGCGGCCATCTTGAGAGAACTTCAAGAGTTCCAGGAGATATTTAGCTAACGGGCGGAGTCATGTCACACCAAGGCATTTGTGATGTGGTTTTTAAAGAGCAACAGTTTTTCAGATTCATAAAACCTTCGGCTAATATTCAACCTCTACACACAGCTGAAAGTGCCATTCAACTGAAGTTCAGCGAACAGCAGCTAAAGCAGGGCTATTCAGCTAAACTGCTCCGGGGCCGAACATCCAGCAGCTAAAGTTGATCTGTAAATAAACCAAGTTTAACAATTCAGTTTATTTCTGTAGCTCCAAGTCACAACAGACGTCGTCGATGATCAGAAACTTTACGGTGAGCAGAAACTTTACGGTGAGCAGAAACTTTACGGTGAGCAGAAACTTTACGGTGAGCAGAAACTTTACGTTGAGCAGAAACTTTACGGTGAGCAGAAACTTTACGTTGAGCAGAAACTTTACGGTGAGCAGAAACTTTACGGTGAGCAGAAACTTTACGGTGAGCAGAAACTTTACGGTGAGCAGAAACTTTACGGTGAGCAGAAACTTCACGGTGAGCAGAAACGATCATCTGTTGCCTTTTAAATTTGTTTTCTTGCATCGAATCAATAATTCAGTGAACAGAACCCAAACCCAGCTGCAGGTTCCACCTCAGAACGTCACTTTAAAGTTTCTGGTTCTCTTTACCCGTATCTGGAGGAAGAAACTAAAACCTTTTTGGACCCCTCAGATCAAACCCAGACTAGAGAGGATCCTTGGAACCGGTCTGAATCCAGCCAGGTCTTGAGGTCCAAGGGGTGTTTATAAACCCAGGCTGGTACTAAGCCCCCCCCCCATCGACGCTGACTCAACTTTCATCATGTTAGAGTTGACTTTAAAAAAATATGTAGTCGTTTAACCCACTGGGTTGACTGGTGGTCCTACGAGTCCGCTGAAGACTCAGCCCCGACCAGGACCAGGACTCTCATCTAAAAAGGACTGGACTAACCAAGTCCTTTTGCCCATATTCAGAAGATAAAAGCAGGTAGTTATTTTACTAACAGAAGCGTTTGCTGCACTCACACTAGGTACTGGTCCCTGATCTTGCGGAGCTGGATCAGGTCTGGCTTCAGGCTGTTCATCTTCTTGTCCATCTCCCGGCTGTCCGTGGTCTGGGTCTTCAGGTCCTGCTCCAGCCGGACCTTGCTGTCGTGGATCTCTCCGAGTCTGGACTTGAGCTTTTCGTAGTTGTTCGTGACGCTCTCCGCCTCCTTCTGGTCGTCGTCGTGGCAACGGTGCTCCTGCGTGCGGCACTGCTCCTCGAAGATCTTGATGGTCTCGTTGAAGGCCTCGATGGCCGTCCGCTTCATCTGGATCTCCTGGGGGATGAGGACGAGGAGGTGAGTGAGCAGAACTGGTACCAGGACTTTAGGGGTCCCCCTGCCTACCTGTGAGGTCTTGGTGTAGTCCTCGTACAGCCGGTCGTAGTCTTTGCTCTTCTCCTGGTACTGATGGTGGTACTCCTGCAGCTTCTTGCCCACGGCGTCGATGGTGTCCTCCTTCACCTCCTGAGGAGAACCAGAACAGGTGGGTCAAAAATCTCTGTGGTACTTCAGGGGTCAACAGGGTCTGGACTCGGTGGCTCTGACCTGCTGGAAGCGGGACACCGGGTACAGGAGTCTCACGTCCAGTTTGGGGTTGTACTGGGCCAGAGACTCGTGGCAGTAGTGGCCGATGAGCTCCACCACGGAGCGGAACGTCAGCGGTTCCGAGAAGCCGTACTTCCCGTCCCGGTGGTAGATCTTTATCAGCTTGTTGTTGCCTCCTTTCCTGAGGAACGAAGACACCATCAGAACCTTGAGAGCGAACCGGACTCACATTTCCAGCTGGAAGGTTCTGGGCCCGCCTGGTTACCTCAGAGTGAGCGTGTAGTCGCCCTGCGTCTTGGTGGAGGCGTCCCGGACCAGGAAGGTGCCGTCGGGCGTATCCCTGAGCTTCTCGTTCACGTCCTCCCTGAAGACCAAACACAGCAGGGACAGGCTGAAGGTTCTGCTCAGAGACCAGCAGGTTCAGGGTTTGGGTCGAGGTTCGGCTGCGAACACCAACACCGGGGGGGTGGGGGGTTCCCAACCGAGCCAACCCTGAGTGATGCAGCAGTTCGAGCCAGACCAGCAGAGGCATTTAAAGGGATAGTTCAGATATTTTAAAGGTTCTGAACAGTCAGCATCTTACCTGCTGGACCCCCCCTGCTGCCCCCAGGTCAACATGAGCCCTCAGTCTTGAAGTGAGGGCAGCAGGGGGGTCAGACTGACGAGCAGTGATCCAAACAACTCCAGCTGGTCGTTAATAAATATTTAAGCAGTCGTCGTCTGATTTGTTTTGTTAAGTCGTTCTCCCTGCAGGAAGTGCTACAGCTAGCTGCTACCATGGTTTAAAATCTGTTCACCATGCTGAAGGTGGGAATATCTGTTTTAACATACAGCTCTTTATTTTCTCAAGTTTAGCTGAACGGCTGCTTAAACGAAACGTTTTAGCAGCCGTTCAGCTGCGGGTCTGATGGGATGTTAAATGGTTCTGATGACGTCACTTCCTGTCACACACGAACACTTATTGTGCTTTGAATTGCAGTACCTGGATATGTCCCCCCAGTACCACTCTGCCTCCTGCAGCGACCCGTCCGACCCGCCCTCCTTGGCGCCGGTGCCGCCTCCCGGCCCGACCGATGAAGACTCCTGAGCCTTCAGAGGAAGAGCTGAAGAAGACAGAAAAACAAACATGAACGGTTCTGAAGGTTCTGTTCCACTGGACGACAAGAACTTTTACAGCCTACTCAGATTAAATAATCTGAGATTATGAAAACTTAATTTGTGCATTTTATTACATCAACTGTCTGTTAGCAAAATATCTGAAACACCTGAGAGAATCTTAACGAAGCTTTCAAAGAAAATGGCCGCCAGGGCCAATTAACTTTCAAAAACACAGAAAACAACAAACAGTGACAGCGTTCATGATGGAAGGACACGATGCACTCCACCGACGAGAGGACTCCGCCCGCCGACGAGAGGACTCCGCCCGCCGACGGGAGGACTCCGCCCGCCGACGGGAGGCCTCAGCCCGCCGACGAGAGGCCTCCGCCCGCCGACGAGAGGACTCCGCCCG